AATCCAATTAATCAGAAGCAACGTGTACTTAGACTTTTCTCAAAGATATCTCTTTATAAAAAGAAAAAAATATATTATTATAACTGGGAACCCAATATTTTAATTATGTTTTAATACTGCAGTGTTTACCTGTAATGTGAAATGAAGCTTACTGCCTGGGAGATGGGCATGCAGGAACAGCCTGTGATCTGAACAGGAGGATCCCTGACTCTGAAATAAGGAGTTGAGGTATCCCCGGATCATGTCCCTCCAATGTCAGTGTGAAGTTACACCTTAATTGAGGTGATCTGAAGAAGAATGAAAAGTTTGCCTTCCCCTGATGAACAATATTGTTACTAGTGTTCTTTTAGGTATTATTGTTCCAGCTGGCAGTTCTTAATATACAGTCATTGTCAGTAATTAAATTTTGTCAAGGACTACTTTACTAATTAAATCAAAGGGATAGAGCCAAGGTCATAACTCACTCCCAGAGAAGCCTGCTGGCAAATCCTGACAAAACCCACAAGAATGAGAGACAAGGGTGTGATCACAGGTGGAAACAGATCACAATTTGGACTGCTTGTGGAGTGGTCTGGTGTAGAGATGGGCACTTACTGCGCTTAGGCTGATCGTGTGTACAGGTATTGGGCACCCCAGGTTCTGCACCCTGCCTCCTCTGTCAGCCGCCCTGTCAGAAGCTGTGCCACGGGCTTCCCTTCCCCACCTCCTCCTCTGAGTGGGCGCCCATGGGAGGAGGTAGGGCGTAGAATCTGGGGCACCCGCACAACACATTGGTTGAGCCACCAAGCCATGGTAAGTGCCCATCTCTAATCTGGTGTGATCAGATGACACACAGAGACATCTGCTGCAACCCTAACTTGATCCATGCCCAAGCTCGACATTTTTCATCTAGTTGTAGGGATTCTGTTTTGGGGAGCCAGATGTGAGTGATTTCCTGGCAGACAGAAGAGTCACTTCTTTAGGGGAGATCAGTCACATCAAAGTAACCCTTTTCAGCCATCTGATCACAGCCTAACTGACAAGATCCATATTTGTCAGGGTGAAGGGGACACAATGTATGTAACATTTATTCACCATGGGCTAAATCTAATTGTTAATCTTAGCTAAAGTAAGCTGAATGAGTAATGTGATTAGTTAAATCAACATTTGTGTAGGTTTAGGTGGTTTCACTCTAGTTGAGACTGATAATTCTATAAAGCACTGTATCATTTTTCCATGTTTCTTTCTGTTATTATGTCTTATCAGTTGTTCTATTTTTATCTTATTTAGTGACATTATTTTGTATTACAAATAACAGTAGCATTTAATGCACTTCATAACAAAGAGCAATATTTATCTCCATGTATTCTGACTTTATAGTGAATTCAGCTAGATTGTTATGAAAGATGAATGAAACATCAGTACCAACATTCGCTCTAAGCTGCTCTGCCATGTGGCGCTGCATCAGGACCATGCAGCTGATCCAGAGTTCCCTCCCATTTGCTTCTAGTCACAGCCAGAACCCTGCATGCATGGGGCCGTGCCCCCACCCCATACTAGTGGAAAATTAGAGTGAACATTGACCAGGAAGAATTCCATAGAAGAACAGTTGCCCAGAAATTTTTGGAAGATTGAGTTCCATGAGAAATCCAACCAAAATAATTTATCCTTGCATAATATGATTCTGGCCATGCTAACCCTCAGATGTGCAGTATGGCAACTTGTAAAGGTGAACAAATAACGCCTTCAGTCCCTAGTTAGAATAGAATTGAATATTGGATAATTTGTTTTCTTTGTTATCCTGATCTTTGTTGATATGGTACACACAAGTGTTTAGTAAACAAGACTGGTTGCAAGATGACTTTAAGCAAAACTAGTGGCTCATATTATGATCTCTCTGTTGTGGGATTACCAAAAGGATAATTACATACCTGTAAATAAATCTCTGTTCAGCACAAAGTAGGTGTAGCCCCTGGTCTGCCCAAACTGTTCAGTGTTTTGACATAGATTTCTATAGGAAATGAACTGCACAACTCTACCCACACAGACAAATACAATTAGTTAGATAAGGTATAAAAACAGAGGCAGAGAGGTGTGTGTGGCACTGTATATCACCAACCGTTGTAAGAATTGTTTAGGTGTCACTATGTTGACTTGCATGAGACCCACTGACTCTCATCACTGATAGAACAATCAAAATTCTCAAGACAGTTTTGCAACAGATAGAAAGCAGAACTGTTATACATGCATGATTCAACATATCTTGCTTTCCCAAGAAGTGTAAACATTGTATATTTTCATATTTCTCACTCAAAATCCAGGACATGAATTTTGCCTCATGGCACTCTTGTACAGCACTCTAGTACAGGGAAACTTGAATCAGTGGTGAGATGGAATGCTGGTCTGTGCTAGTGATCCCACTTCAAACAGATTTGATTGAAGGACAGGAAAAGGACTCCAGGTATCATGCAGGAATAAGTCTATGATGGTAGATAGCAAGTTGTAATTACTGCTTCTCAAATTACCGTATTTTTCCATGTATATGACCCTGTAGATAGCAAGTTGTAATTACTGCTTTCAAATTACCATATTTTTCCATGTATGTGACCCCCACCCAATGTATAAGACGACCCCCTAATTTTTACCCTTGCCAGAGGCAGAGGATCAGTCAATGGGCAGCCACAAGGGGTGGCCCAGCATGGCTGCTCCTCCATCTCCTGCTGCTGCCGCTTCCGCTGCCCAATTGCCTCCTCCAGTGCAACTGCTGGGTCTTACCTCCAGTTCACATTGCTGCCTTGTCCCCTGCCCAAAGGAGGCGATTGCTGGAGGAGGCAATCTGGCGGCGACGGCAGCAGTCAATGGGCAGCCACAAGAGCTGGCCGAGTGCAGCTGCTCCTTTGCCTCAGTCTCCGCCTCCTGCTGCTGCTACTGAGCCCATGAGTGGCGCTGAAGGAGACTGCAGCAAAGGGCCCGCCTCTTGCTGCTGCCCACTGACTGCTGCTGCCATTGCCAGATCACCTCCTCCAGCGATCGACTCCTTTGGGCAGGGGACAAGGTGGCAACATGAGCTGGAGGTAAGCCTCGGCAGTGGTGCTGGAGGGGGCAATCGGATGGTGGAGGCAGCAGTCAATGGGCAGCCGCGAGAGGCGGCTGAGCGTGGCTGCTCCTCTGCCTCTGTCTCCTGCTGCTGCCTTCTGTGTATAAATCAACCCTCAATTTTTTTCTCAAATTATTTTAGGGAAAAGTATCGTTTTATACAATGAAAAATATGGTACTTCTCTTCATACTCTCAATGTCAAAGTTTGGAACATTACTTTTGAAAAGTAAGCACAACCCCAAGGTAAGAACTGGAGCAAATCGTTCCAGTTTTTAAATAATTAATTTCACAGTTATTAAAACTTCCTAAAATGGTTACTTTTTTAAAAGGACTGGGGACTATAAAGCCATTGACTTCTGGTACAAAATGAACTGTAGTACAAAACACACTCCTCGTTGTCATCTTAACACCCACAACAGATCATGAAGCACTGGCAAGGCAGTTCAGGAATCATGTGATATTCTTCCTCACATTTAGTGAGGTCCAGTAACTAAGCAACTGTACAACAGTAACCCAAAAAAAAATGACAACATGAAAAAATGAGTGATGTATATTCCTTATAATGGTGATGTATACTTTTTATCAGTAAAAAAAGGAACTGGTTACAATTTGACTGCAGTATTCCTCCTTTTTAGTTATCACTACATGAAAAGGGGCCATATCTGTCTCTTGACCCCTGTGGACATTCATCAATTTCCATTTGTATGTAAATATCTGAAGGGAGGTGACTGTATAGTGTAATACTTTTGTAAACCTTTTTACTTCTTTGGAGTTATGTACATAATGAGGCTGACATCTGCTTTTTTTAAATCAACTTCTGTAGATAAAAACAAACCGGTAACAAAATTGCCAGCCTAATTTCACAGTAGAAGTTAGAGTGAAATCTTAGTTGACTGGTAAGACTTTTCAAAGAGATCAATATTAAACGTACCCCCAAGAGGATACAAACCTCCCCCTCCCTCCCTTTTCCCTTCCCTTCCCCCAAATGAACATCTGACTGAAACATTGAGCATGCAGAGGATGTTCTTTCCCTGCATTGACAGAGTAGCAAAATGCAGCACCACCTCATTAAACCCAACAAAACAGTGAAAGAAAAGATGGTTACAAAGCATGGCTTGGAGTGAGGTCACCAGCTAATCTAGCTTCATGACAACAAAGGTCTTTGACGGATGAGAAAGTGTCCTCTGATGGAGGTCAGCATTCCTGGGCCCAAATGAGTCAGGCTAAAGGAGGAAAAATTTGTTAGCTTGACTTCCTGAGGCGTATGCCACAATACCATGCAACTTGCAGCATTCTGAGACCTTTTATGGTTTGATATAATGATTAACTGACCATTCAAAAGTCTAAAACATGTCACATCAGCTGTGGAGAGAGAGCAGGCAGCAGAGTGTGAAGTGTGGCTTGAAGTAGCCAAAGTTTAGGTGCTAAAAGAATAATTAAGGTGAGAAATAATCTGCAGCTGCTAAAATTAAAGCATTGCACTTTGTAAAATCCACATGCATGCAAGTATGTGTGAGCAGATAAGGGTATAGAATAAGGAGAACCCAGTCAGTACAAGGTATTTGTTACACTTCTCATGAAATGATGCAGCATTTGGTCATATATATGCCTCTACACACAAACATTCAAACATATGCACACAATTAATCTATTAAAAGCCAATCAGTAGTACCAACAAAATCTGGCAGCCACTTTGGCAAGCTGGCACGGTCTTTCTTTCCAGTTATTCAGGCATTATGTTCATTTGACAAAGTAGTAGCGCAGGAAAATAAAGGGAGAAACCATCCTTTTTTGTGGAACAGACCTACCTCGTTATCACATTTCATGGGGGACATGAAATATTCTTGCACAAACGTATGCTCAGAGTTCGTTTTAGAAACTTGAACAGTGGATTTTTCTCTAACTTTACAGGAGACAATTGTCCTTCACGTGTTTGGCTTTGTACCACTTCAAGACTGTTCTTGGAGTTTTCAAAGACCCTGTTGGATTCTTTAAAAGACTGGCTTGAAGCTTGGAAACTATCTTGATATTGCAATGCGGACTTCAAGCAGCATGGACAGTGCCAAGAAGTGGCTTGGACTTAGTATATCCTTAAATTTTTACTTATTAGTGAACCTCATTACTATTGTACTATCCGGGAACATCAGACTAGCCAGCAAAGGCCAAGGAGATGGCTCATCGGACAACTTGCTTCTGCATCAGCGAATGAAGAGGAGTTGGGTGTGGAACCAGTTCTTTGTTTTGGAAGAATACACAGGAACTGATCCTTTGTATGTTGGAAAGGTAAGTGGTGCAGCATGCAGTTAAATGTAAAGAAAAATGCATATGTAGTACATAACATCATTTATTTTTCTCTAGCACCAATATAATAACCAGATAGATACAGGCAAATGCCATTATGCATGCTTTGGCTTATTTCATGGTGGTGACCTAAGATGGAAAGCCAATGGCGTGATGAAAGAGGAAAGTTCTGAGAAGAGCTAGGAAGAACATATTACAAGTAATCACTTACCTGTACGTAGTATATTTAGAACGGCCAGATCAGCACCATCCTGAGACTTGGCCACCCTAATAATACCTTTTTTTGTTAACTCAGTGGCAGCAACTTTCCTTTCCAAAGTAATATAATGACTGATAAGGTTGTTACTTTTGCCCATGTAATGAGTAGCACGTGTTCATTACTTTTCTCACAGCATTTTAAAGATTGGGATCTTTAGGATCTAAAAAGCAGTAAAAATGAGTGAGCAATATACAGTGATGCCTCAGAAGACGAAAATAATTCATTCCATGAGTCATTTCGTATTGCGAAAATTTCGTATTGTGAATTTTCCCATAGGAATGCATTGGGAAAAAAAATCATATTGCAAAGCATGGCCATAGAAAAATTCATCTTGCAAATCATCAAAAAATCGCAAAACACTTTAGTCTTGTGAGATTTTCACTGCACGAGGCATTTGTCTTGCAAGACAACACTGTAAATGAGAGACTGAATGAGATACTTTTAAAAACCATAACAAATAATGGCAACAAATTACTTTCTAAAATTGTAACGTGTAACAGTGATCAGTTCTTTTAAAAAATAACTTTCCAAGATGTCATTTTAAATTTTTCAGAAATAACTTTCCCAAGCTCTGATTTTTAACCATACAGAGGACACGTTCTCTATAAGCACAGGAAGCCTTACAGGAACCCTAACCTGGATTTAGAAGTTAGTATGATGGTCCCCATGCTGCAGATGGGATATGGACATGAAGCAGAGCAGAGCCACAGATAACTAATTTTTAGCTGCCCCGAGCAGAATTGCCAATTCTGTACAATCTTTATTCCTAAAATAAATATTTGAACTGCAGAAGCAGCTGAATATCTGCACCATTTGCAGTTCTTGAAAGCTTTGGAGTTCTGCTAAAGGAAAGGGTGCTAAAGAAAAGGGTGCACTCCTGGGTTACATGAAAATAGTCTATGAAAACTCAGACCTCTTTTCCATGTCTGTAAAACAGATGTCAAGACTTCTGCATGAGAGGGGGCTGGTTCATTTTTTAATGAGCCACCACATTATTTTCATAATGAACCAAGTAATCTGCATAACATGCAAACATTTCTGCCAAGCTTCTAGCTGCCTCAAGAGAGACTGGTTCCTGTTGCCTGATAAGGATGCAGCAAGAGTTATGATGAGAAAGGGAAACGAAGCAAAACATGGGAGGAGGGGACAAATGGCAAGAAAAAAAGGGGGAGAAATATGAAGGGGGAAGAAGGAAGCAGAGGGACTGGGACACTGGAGGAAGCAAAGGGGTTTTTAACCTGAGCAAAGTTGATACAAGTTAAATAAGAACTGAGTGGAGGAAGAAGAAGAACAGTAAGGGGAGAAAGAGGTGAGAATAAGTAATACTAGCGCTGGATGGGATAGGAAAGGAAGCTGGATACTTACACACTTCCATGTTACAGTATGTCACGTTATGTTGGACAACTCTGTCCTTTGTTCTCAACTATCAATAGTCACGTGCCTGCTGGCTAATGCAGTCATCTCGGCCCTATTCTTTATGTGTCTTTTCATGTGCCGTCAATTAATACTGTTCCAGCACTTTGCAGATGTTACATGGTAAAAATATGCCATGATTCACTTTTCTTTTGGGTGTTTGGTGCCTGTCTCTTGTCTCTCCTGTCACATATTAACAACTTAAAAGGAGAGGGTAGCCTTGCTACTCCCCCACCCCCACCAATCGATATGGATGATACAGATATACCTACACCTAGCTTCAATATGTGACGTATGAAGGGGTACCATGTTGTTGTTCATCTCAAGTTGCAAAAGGCAGTTCTGGGAGGCATGCAAAGTGATCTCACAAAGTAAGATCATATCAACACATTGAGACACCGCCAAAAAAATTTCAGCCTGCAGTAAAGTTCTTGCCTCCAGTATGAAGCAAGTGCTTTTTGCTCCATCACAGTTTCTGCATTTTTCTGCATTATGTGCAAAAGCAGCCACAAGAAACTGACAGCCTTCATGCATGAACTATCCAATGTATTAGTGCTGGGAGGGTTATTTGTGTCCCTCTGAACAGTAAGCCTTTCCTTCCTCTTTGTCTGTTTGCACCAAATGTGTTTGTGCACGTATGCACATGTACAAACATACACAAACACATGCAGCCCCCACCCAAAAAAGGAAAAGCTTGTTGTTCAGAAAGGCATAAATAACCTTCCCAGCACTAACTAATACATTCGGTAGTTCATTCATGAAGGCAACACTTAATGAATTGTCCAACATTGTGCATTTTTCAGAAATGTGCCAAAATCAGTGTTGCAAATGCAGAAAATCTCACCAAAACAAACAGAAATAAATTATTGTTTGGCAAAGAGAGTATTTATTGTACGTGAAGATGATATAAATCAGGGTCTACACACCTGGCCCTGACAAAGGTGGACAAGTCCACCGACTCTGCATCATTTGCAAAGAACAAATAAGAGGGAAAAGTTGTCATATTCATGCCCTTCTTTTGAGCTTCCTTACAACTGCTTTCTGTTGCACTGTGTGGGTAGTGGAGCAGTTCTTATGCTCTGATGAGGACCCCATCCTTAATGTAACTTCATCAGGCATATAATACATAATAATTTTTGGTTTTTAATGGTTCTTCTTGACCAACTGAGACTTGCACATGGATGTCAAAGGAAACAGTGGTGGTGTGGAAATACCAGTGGTCTTTCTCTATTTGAATATCACTTTCATTCCCAGGTTCCATCCTTAGTTCCAGCAACTAAAAAAATGTTAGGTAGCAAGAAAGACACCTAGAGAGATTCTAAGAAAGAAAGAAAGAAAGAAAGAAAGAAAGAAAGAAAGAAAGAAAGAAAGAAAGAAAGAAAGAAAGAAAGAAAGAAAGAAAGAAAGAATTACATTTACTTAGCTTAGAACATATCTCACAGAACCCTTAATTCATCTGGACATATCCAGTATTGCAGCAGACATTGGCTTGCTTCCTTCTTCTTAATGCCATTTTAATGTTTCTCAGCAGAACAAGACAAATCTTATCATTTTTCTTCAGAGGTTGTAAACTCGCTACTGCTGCCATCACTTCTCATGTCATCTCATTGATTTTAAAAAGAGTTCTATTCTGGGATACCACATCAGCCATAGTGGCTGTTTGAGTCAATGACTGAGGTACAGCATTGAAACCTTCTAGAATACTGTATACGTAAAGGCACAAATAATTTTTTACATATATTAATGATTTTTTAAAAGTCCATAGATGGACATTGCTTGTCACAGCAATTTTGTAAATATATGAACACAATCTTTTTTTAATGCAGCTTTCCTTGGCCATTTCCTTGACTATCTGTAGATTCCAATAAAATGTCTTCTAATCATAGGACGGTGGAGGTGGAAGGGACCTATAAGGCCATAAAGTCCAACTCCCTACTTAATGCAGGAATCAGAATCAAAGTACTGCATATCTGGCACATGCTTGTCTAATTTTCTGTTAAATACTTCCAATGTTGGAACACATATTACCTCTCAAGGTACTTGATTCCATTGTTGTACTGCTCTAATAGTTGAGAAGTTTTTCCTGATATTAATCCTAAATCTGGCTTCCTGTAACTTGAACCCATTATTATGTGTCCTGCACTCTAGGATGATCAAGAACAGATTCTGCCCCTCCTCTGTATGACTACCTTTCAAGTATTTTAAAAGTTCCATCATATCTTCACTCATAGATATGATAGAAGGAATTTTTGTTCCTTCATTTTCATTCAGCTGGGAAGAAAACTACCTGTATTTAATTCTGAAAGTTTCAGTATTTCTACACACTGATCAAGTCAAAGCTGTACTTATGTATCATGTTAAATTTGTCTTCAGCAAGCATCATATATTTTCTGGGCTGTTTCTCACAGAACTTTTTCTTTGCTTCATAGTCTTTGGCTTCATTCTATCTATAGTGATATGCCATCTTGTTGGCTGTGCCAGTTCACATGCCTTCATCAATAATACCATGATGTTAAGTCTAACACAATACTACAGCAGTGCTGTGGGTATTCACTAATAAAAATTAGGTGCGTTGCTAGAGTCAGTAACATTGAACAGTAGTATAATAAAAATAATTCCAAGAAAGAGTTCCAGGGCATGTAGACCTTTGGTCTAGATGAGAGGGATAGAAATCCAATAAATAAAATAAATAAATGTAGACTTCTTGGTGCCTGATGCCCGTATGTATGTATGTATGTATGTATGTATGTATGTATGTATGTATGTATGTATGTATGTATGTATGTATGTATGTATGTATGTATGTATGTATGTATGTATGTANTGTATGTATGTATGTATGTATGTATGTATGTATGTATGTATGTATGTATGTATGTATGTATGTATGTATGTATGTAGACCGCTTATATTTCACTCCACATCCTGAGATCTGAGGGTGGAATACAGCAGTGAAAATAATATAGAGCAACTTAATACTTTGAAATAATTAAAAAGCATTAAAAACTACATACATTAAAACAACAGCACTTGAGAAGCCTCCAGAGCCTATTAAAGCCCATTCTGGAAGGCTTTTATGAATAACCATGTTTTAACTTGATGTTGAAATAAAGCTAATGTCAGTACAAGTCAAGTCTCTAAGGAGAGTGCATTCCATAAGTTAAGTGCTGCAGCTGAGAAAGCCCTCCCCCACATCTTCTTATAATGGATTATTCTCCATGGTGGGACACAGAAGAAGCACCCCAGCAGATCTTATTGATTAGGCAGGTGTTTAGGGGAAGAGGCATGTCCTCAAGTATCCAGGTCCCAA